TTCAATTATACACGATGCATTTTCTTCGATATCGAATCGCTACAAAAACCCGATATTTATATCGAAGGCATTCCAATATATATTTCCCTTCGCATGCTTTACTTAACATATGTTCATCTACCGTTTGTTATTTATTTATCATCGAAATTCAAACTTCTAATATTTTCAGAGTTTGATGTTGAGCTAAAGTTTGAATTTGAATTATGTAGAACGAATAGCAAACTTTTATCACGAATATACATATATTTTCCTTTTCTTTACCAATATTTCTTTGAATATTTCATTTATCAAGAACCAAAATAATAGCAATAAAAAATAACAATAATAATAATAATAATAATAATAAACGAGGAAAAAGAAGAAAGAAAGATAACGATAACTTTTGATTTTTTAATCATTGCAGTAATAATGCAGATATCGTTCCAAAAATTGATCTCAATATTAAAATTAAGAATAAAAGAGCAAGAAAAATTTTTTAAAAATAATGTTAAATCATATAGAAATCAAAGATTTTAAAAAAAACAAAATATAAAAATTTGATTAGAAATATCTTTATATAACAATTATTTTAGAATGATTCCTATTATAGTAAATAGAAATACAAATAGATATAATTTGTTTTTGATAGTGAAATCATGAATTAATGAAAAATTATATATTCTTTCAATATGTTTTTCAATAGAACAATGTCACGCTGTGTAGTACACGTAGTACTGAAATTATTTTTTAATCACGTTCGATTATCTTAAATATTTGTTTATTTTCTAGTTTATACAAAAAAATACGTAAGAAATCCAAGAGCAAAAGAAGTAAGCAGTAAACTTGTACTAAATGCAAACGCTATTTTTGTTAGACATTTTTAATCGATTAAATGATCTCAAGTACTGCGTGAACCAAATCATTATCGAAACTACGTGCCTTCCTATTTTCGATATTATACATTTCATGCATATTTTTGATTACGAAAAGAAAAAAACGACAAAAAGACAGAACAAAAATATAAAAAAAAAGAAAAAACAAAAAAAAAATAGGCAGGACGAATGCAAAACGATGCACTAGTTTTTCAAGCATTTAATACAAGTTCAACATAATTCGATCGCGCAATATGCGTAATTATATACATACCGAATGATTTCAATAATCAGTTATCATATAATTATAGAATGTAATTATAGCATAGAAAAGAGATAAGAAGAAATATTAAAATAAAGATTTGTAACATGTGATGTAAAATGAAATGAGAGAGAGAATGAACAATTGATCGAGCGAACAAATGAAAGAATGAGCGAGAGCAAGGGGAATGAATGTGAAAAATTGGGACAAAAAGTGGCCTTGGGGTTACTTTAACAGTTTCAATTCTTCGTTTCCATGAATTTTTAGCAATCGAATGAAATTCAAGCGCACGCTGGTATAGATTTAATTTCTCTAAGTCTTGTATCTTAAGTCGCAATTATCAATCAAACTTTTTTTTTGTAACTATATCGCTTTATTAAAATTTCTATTTCAAAATAGAAACATATACAACATATATAACGTATATGTGAAACTTTTATTAAAATATTAGGAAAAAAAAAAAAATCAGTAACGTATTCCTGAGGCCACCAAACAAATTGAATTAGTGTATAAAAATAAAAATGGAAATTGAAGCAACACGAATTTGTTGCCCTTTATAATACTAGATAAAATGATAAAAAAAAAAAGAGAGAGAAGTAATATCAATAATTCAACAATATTTATATGCAAAATTTATGAATATAGCACATTTGTACATGATTAATGCTCTTTGCTGCACTCCAATTCCCGTCCAAGTATTTAAAAAATTATTTAATATTTTTTTATTATAATCTTTTTTTTCTTTTTCTCTTTGTTTTTTGTTTTTTTTTTTTCTTCTATCGATGGATCTTTAATTGAAATTAATTATTTAATTATTAAACTTTAACGAATTTATTTTAAAGATGTTTATTTTAATTTTTATATTACGGAGGGCAGTAAATAGCTGATAGAAAGTGAATAAAGATATTATTTAAAATAATTTTAAGAAGCAATAATAGTAATAAATTCGTATTAATAAATGTATTAAAATTGCCTTGTACATGTTGTATCAATTTATTTCTAAATCCTCTATTCAAAGTAATGTGTATTCGTTGTACATTCTTTTTTATCAAAACCTTATACACAATTTGGTTATTTCATACAATATATGCATTTAGATGGACGTTTTTTCCATCAATTGTCATTAATTAACATAATAGTATTTTAAAACTTATTAATAAGTATAAAAAATAATAATAATAATTTTAAAGTTTAAATAGAAGTTCAAATAATTTCAATAAGATTTTATATCTTCAACTTTTTAATATCAATTCGTCATTTCCCTGATAACACCAATTTTTCGCAATAGATGTGCAATAATTATAGAATGGTGGTGCTTAAACGTATGAATTGAATTTGGCTAAATTTGATTTGATGATTTATCATATTTAGTGTTTGTTAGCAACTACCTTTGTTTTGTTATTTCAGCCCCATGGACCCATCCGTACCTCCCAAGCACCCAGTAGTGAGGTACGTTGCTATATGCCATAATACCATGATCCACGCATTCTAATTTCACAATTTATATCCTTTTCTTACGTTCTTATATTCTTTTTTCATTTTTGTTTTTTATTTTTTTTTCTTTTTTATTTCTTTTTATTGCTTTCTATTTTTTCTTCCTCTCTTTTTTCTTTTTTTTCTTTCATTTTTCGTTCGTTACTATAATCATTCGATTCTTCTTCTTTTTGCTTAGATTATTACTTTTTATTGAAGCTTAATCACAACGTAAATTCACGCCATTCCTGTAATATAATATATAGAATAAATTGGCGTCTTTTTCTGTAAAGCAACACGTTTCTTATTTGAAAAATAATGTTTGACATATATTGAATAATACAAAAAACACCGATATATATTTAATTATCGTTCATTTGTCTTCGTCGCAAAACAAATGCACAATTTAGGTAAGGCGTAATAATTACAATTTCAATTAATTTATTAACTTATATTATAATATAAATTTTGTTTTGTAATAATCCACTAAATGATCTTTATAAAATTCTTCATCCTCGACATAGATTCTAAAAGCCAAATTATTCTATCATCCTTAAGGTTCAAAAAATTTTTTGTGAAAAACGCGGAAAAATATTCTAAAATTATTAGCTTGAATGAAAATTAGTTTTAAAACACAGAATTTAAAAAAAAACAAACATTTTGAATACCATAATGTCCATAATTTTAATACAAATTTTATTTGTATTAATTTTAAATAGTTGTAAATAAGTATCGAGGTTTTAAAAAAAAATATAAATGTAAGTAGTCTTTATATTTTTACGAAATGATGTTTTTTTGACACATATTTTATACACAATATCTAATTTTTGAAGAAAATATATATTTTTGAAGAAAAAAAATGTCGGAATACTTTTTAATTCGAATGGGTTGAAAAATAATAATTGGCAGCATGTGCATGATATTTTGTCATTATGATTATTATTCTCTGTGCCGTAACTACTTAATTAATACCAATAAAATTGTTCAATAGGACATTTATTTTTTATGTATAATATTAATTTTTTTAATTTTTTATTGTTTAATTTTTAAAAAAATTTTCTCTTTGCTCGTTTTTAAATATTCACTTCAATTCTAACTTAATAAAATAAATTGTAACGATTCGTATTGATTTTGATTTTTTCTTTTTCTGTTTCTCCTATTTTCTCATGTTTTTTCCCCTATAATTTAATAATAGTATTAAGAAAATATTAAACTTTTTGTCAATCGAGAATTATTTAAAAATTAAACGATAAAAAGTTATAAGAAAATAAACTTTACGTGTAGAAAGTTCGCAATACAACAATTTTGTTAATGTTGATTATGGCATTGACAAATAGACAAAGTAATGATTGTATGGTGGCAAAATATTATGCACATGTTATCGATTACTATTTTTTAATTAAAATAATAGAATAGTGTTCAATAACTAATTCTTACGATCATTTTTTCTCCAGAAATGTATATAAAATTTGGTATTGTATTAGAAATTTATATCAAATAAACATCTTTTCATAAAAAATCAAAATTGCGTAAAAACTATTCTCTACTAAAAAGAAGGAATGCAATCAGAATAGGAGAGGAAAGCTTCATACACATTTTTTGTTCTAATCTGCTATTTATCAATATGGACATATATATTAATACAATTACATGACAGAGAAAAGCATTTTCAATAGTTAAGAAAATAATAATGTGTATATGAGTAAAGTGAGATATACTATATATTAATATTATATTAATAATTTAAATAATTAATAGTTTCGAAAATATTTCAATTTAATATCTGTCATGACTCATTTTTAAAATAATTTCATAAATAACAATAATTATATCTTATTTGTACATCAAAATTCCTTTATTCACGATTTTGAATGTTTAATCTCCCATTATATATATATATATATAATAGTATATATGAGTTATCAGGAATCACATGTAATCTCCAAAAACAAAATCAAGGATAGATATAGATATAGTACTAATCTTACCGAAAGACCTCTTGCTTTTCTACTATTTCGCGAGACTTTTCTAATAATAAACAATATTCATTTTTTTTTATTTTGATGTTCATTTAAAATTATTAAAATTATAAATAATTATAATTTAACAATATTATATTCAACTTTTTTATTATTTTTTTAAATTAATTTGAAATTTTTAGTTTTCATAATATTTTTAATATTTTTGTCAAAAATCATGTATTTTTTGAAAATTGAAGATAGAACAATTTCTACATTTGTGTTTAGAGCGAAGAATTCTACAAGAATCATTCAATGAATATTGCAAAATGGAAAATAAATTCTTTTTTTTTTTTGTTGGACAGTATTATCCATATATGAATATTCCGAATAATCAAATACGCATATACGTTTAAAAATTTGTTACATAAAGATAAAATATTTTTAATTCACAATTTCGAACATTTTCCTTATTCTTTTTCTCCTTTCCTTGTCTTCTCCTTTTCGATAAATTTATCTATCTATCTTAATATTTTTAACAATTATCTTTCTTTCTCTCTTTTTCAATTTATCTCCAATTCTTTAAATTATTACACGTTGGATCGAGGAAACGACTTTATTCATAATCGCGCGAATTCATCTCAAAAAAAAAAAAAAAAAAAACGAGATGAGAAAAAAAAGTGTGTAACAGATTTATAGATAGCAGAGAATTCAATATAATGCATTCAAAATTATGCATACTCATAAATAAAACAAAATGAAATGAAGCTAAAGAAAAAGTAAGAAAAAGTCAAGAAAAGGAAGAAAATACTATAAAATTGTGATATTTATTATTAAAATTCAAAACTTTTGTGGATTTTTAAATACAGCTTATATACAATATATAGTATTATATGTATAGAATTTTTCTCGGTAATAGTTTTTAATTTCCACTAATGTATCAATATACATGTATGCACATAACTTGCATGTCACATGTCTTCTGTTGCATTCTTCAACAATCAACTAATTTCCAAATCTTAATGCACATTATTTATCAACTCAATTGAAATATTAATTAATTTAAACCATTAATTTAGAGTAAATAAGGATACAGACAATAATAAAAGTGATCGATATATTCAATCTTAAAAATTTATATATGAATGATACATAATTTACAATGAACAGATTTAAAATATATTTTTGTTTCAGTGGTGCAACTACTAACGATGAGCAAGTTAAGCCACGCAGTCTACGTTTCACTTGGAGTATGAAAACTACGAGTAGTCGAGATCCAAACGAAATTATGTCCGAAATTCGAAAGGTATTATACTCAATTCGTTATAAAATAAATAAATAAATAAAAAAAAAGAAAAAGAAAATATTTTGTGAAAATATGTGTTTCGAAATGATAATATCAAGTAACAGAGTACAGAAAGAAAAATTTTTATCATCAATCAAATTTTCTAGGTATTGGATGCCAATAAATGTCAGTACGAACAACGTGAAAGGTTTCTGCTGCTATGTGCGCATGGTGACGCAGCGACAGATAGCCAAGTACAATGGGAAATCGAAGTTTGCAAACTGCCACGACTTTCTTTGAACGGAGTACGTTTCAAACGGATCTCAGGCACTTCAATTGGCTTCAAAAATATTGCTAGCAAGATAGCAAATGAGCTCAAGCTGTGACTGCCGACAACAGGCGCCCTATCCACCCGCGCCAATCCATAACGTTCTCATGATCGATGACACGGATTCACAGTTACCGACAACTTTCATTTTTCCTTCTTCTGGACTTTGACCTTCTCGATGATATCAATACCGATACAGATATCGATACCGATACCGATACCGATACCGATACCGATACCAATACCGATACCGATACCAATACCAATACCAATACCAATATCCATACATATACCTATACACATACCAATAATGATTCCGATTCTGGTTCTAGTTCCAATCTTCATTCCGAAACCAATACACGAGAGATATTCGTTTAAAACAATTCTCTCTATCCCGTCCCAGTTGAACAGCGAAAGTAACGTCGGCAGAATCGAACTTTCACCGATCATCGATCATCGATCTTTGATTTATCAAGCATTACATCATCCCGTTACTTATTCGGAAGCCTCGAAAAAACTGTGATCCGTGACCGTTGAACGCGCGCATATTCAAATACTCCCGAGTGCCAAAACAAAATCAAGCAGTCGGTTTTTCGTGAAATCGTCTAGATATGGAATAATACAATGGGAAGATTGGGAGTGAATGAAGAAGGTGGTGCTGATCGGACAGAAACGTGAAAAAATTCAAATGAGATTCCACAGAAGGAAGAAAAGAGAAGAGGCTAAAAGAAGAAGAAAAAAAAAAGATAATACGAAAAGATACGAATTGATCGTATCGCGCGACAAATTGTTATCGGTCGATATGATCGATCTCTAATAATTTAACATTCTTCTTATCGATACGCAAAAAAAAAACGATGTTTGAAATCTTCTCGATATCGAGAATATCATTCGCGTCGTCGTATCAATTGTCGAATTATGCTCATTTTCTGTACTCTCTCAATCACGCCGAAACGGTTGCTATCAACTTAAATACTACGCGTTTACAGTATTATATATTCCAAGCAATTTTCTTGATGTTATAACACGGTTATCTCCGGTGAAATTGACAAAATTATTATTTTTTAGTTATTTAAGCCAATCTTATATTCGCGTCTTCTACATAATTATATTTGATCTTTTTTTATTTTATTAATTTCTCTTTCCTTTTACAAAATTTCTAATTTCTCTCTCACAAAAAATATTGTTTTATTTTAATTGTGCCTAATAATGCGTATCAATAAAGTATAAACTTTCTTCTAATGAGCGAGGAAAGGGATATAGAACCTGTTGGCAAGAGTGGAAGGAAAGACGAGATGAGTGGAAAATAGTGTACATGAATAAAAGCTCTTTAAAAATAAAGATATTTATAAGTGGGGCGTTCGATCGAATGCATTATGCATTCTATGTCAAGAGTCTTTCTTTTCGCAACGTTAATTTTTCAAATTACGTTTTTTATATACATATATAAGGGGCACTCAAGTAAACAAGTGATCTGTTTGTACATAATCAATCAAATTATTCGAAAAAAGTGTAAAGGAATATATAGGAATATAACTTCTATCTGTAATGAAAACATCTTTATACATTTGTCATTCGTTGAATATTGAAAAAAATTCAAAATATTATTCAAACGTAATCCACGCACCACCTTTCTAAATATTTTTAAGATATCTTACTTTTTTATCTATATTATAAGTTTAAAGCTATCTCATACCATAGGCATTAGTCAAATTAATTATGTAACGCGTTATTATTATTAATTATTAATTATTAATTATTAATTATTGTTGTTATTATATTTTTATTTTTATTAATAGTATACAAATAACGTTACGACATAATGTTGAACGTAAAAAAAAAAAACAAAATAGAGAAAAAGGAGTTAATTATCATTACTTAAAGATTATTATCAATCGAATTTACTCGTATCTCGCGCGAATAATGATGCAAGTACTTTTTTCCGAAACAATTCCGGGATATACCTAGCACGATATGCACGAGCGCACGACATCGTCGATAACGAGATCTGTTATTTCTACGAAAGATACTATGTAAGATTATATTTAAATATTGTAATTGGCTATACACTACTACGCTGTTTAACCCTTCATTCGCAAATGTATCCGCGGTTGAATGAACTTACATTAGAAATTATTATAAACGTAGAGGCGACTAGAGAGACTTGGTGTACATACATAATACAATATACGAAGGTACTAAATTAACCAAATAAATAAAGCCTCACATTAAGAATGCAAATAAGAAATTAAAGACGGCGAAAGAGAGAGAAGAAAAAAAAAATAGATCGATAGAAAAAAAAAAAGATGAAAAGAGGAAGGAAAAAAGAAGAAAAAGTGTAAACAAAACGAAAGAAAAGAAAGAGAGAAAATTCGTATTGCGATCTTTTTATATTTGCCTAAAATTAATCGTCTACGTTAAACAAAAGGCAATGACTAATTTATTTAAATAAATGCAAAACTCAAATCATTTTTTCACATTTTTAACACGAATTAAACAAACACACAACCGTGCCTCCAAATGTCGAATAAAATCTTGATTTTTCGATTCGATGAAACGTTCATTGTCCAGCACATGTTTTGGTGTATGGTTCTTTCAAGTTGCCGGAAACGACCGATAACGACCAAATATTGTTATCAATGATCTGTGACCATGTTATTCTCGTAAAACGAATTCGCAGAAACTAAGTTTTCGATTAACTACTATACATATAGTGTTTAAGCGTAACATCGTGAATATTTTTCGTGAATCTTTTATTATAAGTTGCAAACAAGATTCGTTTGTCATTCGTCATTCGACTAGTCATCGATAAAGCTTCGTTTCGAAGTGATATCCGTATTGAACTTCTCGATGCGAATAATTCTGCAATGTCGGACACAATTTTGAATTATGATAATGCAACGGAATAGAAGATCTTTATGACAAATTGAATTGCTGTCCAAACTACTATTTGAAAACTTTTTCTATGTCAATTTCTTCCTGAATAAAAAAAAAACAAAAAAGCAAAAAGAAAAAATAAAAAGAACAAATGAAAAAAGGAGGATCCTGAAAGAAAGTAGACATAGGAAAATAAAGGGCAGTAAAGGAAAAAAAATAAATTCTGTTCACAATGATCATGCATGTCAATGAAACAGTACTGTGTATAATTCCGAATGCAATCGTCGTTATACAAAAAAAGACAGGATACTGTAGAAAATTGTATCTTTACCATAGCAATTATGAATTAATGTTACAAAATAAGATCTTTCAGTAGCGTTAATGATATATCCCTGTAAAATGCAAGTAGGCGAGGAAACGGTACTTTATTGTAACGATATAAATACACATTCATTCATTCATTCGCACGCTCGCCGCTCGTTACTCGCTTGCTTCATCAAATAATATGATTGATGCTTAAGAAGAAGATTCAACTTTGAGAATATTGGCTAAGTGAATCGTAAGATGCAGAAGCTGAACGGATGACACATTAGCGATTCGAAACGGCGAGCGCATGCTTGTGTTGCGCGTTTACCCCGATCGCGTCGCACTAGCAAAATGCTTATGTGATTTTTCTATTATATAATTAGTAAAACAATAGAGAAAGAAAGAAATATCGAATTTAATATGGTCCAGTCCGATTCGGTTCGGTTCAGTTCGGTTCGGTTCGGTTCGGTTCGGTTCGGTTCGGTTCGATTCGGTTCGGTTCGGTTAGGTTTAGTTCGGTTCGGTTCGGTACGGTACGGTACGGTACGATTCGGTTCGGTTCGATTCGATTCGGTTTGGTTCGATTCGTCATCCATCCAGTGACATCACTTTGCCCTGCACGCACACATATTCACACATTCACACATGCAACATACACGTGACAATTTGTAGATAGATACGTACATACAGCTTTGCTAAGTGTTTTCTGGTGATCGGTATTTAGCCAACAAAATGTAGCAAAAATATTTATAATAAAATGGTAACACACATTGTTTCCCAATTCAGATTCCTTTCAAAATTGTATATGTGCAATAGGGTAAATATTCTATCCTTTTTAAATAATTTTTTAACATACCATAATGTTCTGTGATATAATCCCACGAACAAAAATAATAAGAAATTAAAAACAAATCAAAGATAAAATTGAAAAACATTAATATATATTTCTTATTTTTTATTTATAAATTCACGTTTTCATTGCGAATATCCAAACCTTTCTGAATCAATTTTTGATGATTTTCCATTTAAGCTACTTAAGTTATATACGCCCCACATTATTATGATTAATAATTTTTTTCTAAGAAGTATGTTTTATAATATTTTAAAATAAATATAAAAATATATATATCATAATTATCAAGAAAAAGATGAAGAGATAAAATTTAAAATGCAAAAAAAAATATAACTACAAATTTTTTCAAAGATTTCATAATGAATTTCAAATAGCGTGGGATGTATGTAACCTAGTGTGTTAATATATTTTCTATAAAAATATAAAAATCACTTTTTCTATATTTATTGATGTAAAAAAAAAATTTTATTTTGAGGCAAAACAAAACACATAATTTGCCAAAGAATAATATTATGTCAAAATTTTTAAAATTTGTGTTAATTTCTAATATTATTATAATATTGTCTATCAATCTTTAAAAATATCCGCTTCTTTTGTGTAATACTTTGTCTTTTCTTCTAGTCTTCTTTATTCTATGTTAAAACGGAAAAATTAAATGTAATATTAGGGTCTATCTAAAAAAACATAAATTTGTTAAAAATTATTTATTTTTAAAAATATTGATTTTTTCATTTTGATACAAATTTTTTAATTATTACATTATATTTCGTTTAAATATGTTAATTGATTTTTAATTTAGAGCGCTTAAAATAATTTAATTTTAAAGATTTTGTATACATATCGTATTATACATATATGTTTTCTTCACTACTTTGTCGCCATTTGTCTATCTATCAAGTGTCTAAAGGAAACGTAACTAGCAATTATTTCTGATGCATGATGACAACACGAGCTTGCGGTTTTGTTATATTTCGGCGTATTCAAGGAATGGTCGAATTTCTTTTGATGCAAGTTTCTTACGGCGAACATCATTGGACACCACCGAAAGGTTTGTCACATCGTTCATTCTTTAGCAACTTTACTTTAGAATCTAACCTAAAAAAAAAAAAAAAAATAAAACATTTTTTGTATAAAACTTAAAAATTATTTATTTTGATAACTTATTATATTTTATTTATAGGTCATGTTGATCCTGGTGAATCGGATATGGAAAGCGCACTACGTGAAACGCAAGAGGAAGCAGGTTTTTTACCTAGTGATTTAATTATATTCGAAGATGCAAAACAAGAATTAAATTACGAAGTGAATGGAAAACCGAAAACTGTTGTTTATTGGCTAGCAGAATTAGTAAATATTGACAAACCTATTCAATTGTCGCATGAACATCAAGCATTTAAATGGCTTCCACTTCAAGAAGCTTGTTCTATAGCAAAATATCAAGATATGCAAAATACATTAAAAAATTTTAATGAATATATACTAAAATATCTTTCTTAATATAATATTTCTATAAATCTTGATACTATTATTAATTTTGTTATATTTTTATCTTTTAATATGATAAAAATATGATAAAAATATCTTTTTTTCATTTTTCATTTTTTTATATTGTTTTTTTTCGACAGTTTTTTTTGTGTTATAAATATATTTTTTAATATATAAATTAATACAATAATCGAATTCATTATTATTAGTTCATTATTTTATCATAATGAACTTTATAATGTAAACTATAAAATATTATAGTATAAACAAAATTCAAATTCGATTATAATTTTTATGAAAATTGATCATATAGATATATTAAGTAATAATAATAAATTGTTGTTTTTGATGGTTGCATGATATTATTTAATGAATGCATTAAGAATTTCTTTCTAAGTCATATATTTTAATTGATATTTATATATATGTAATGAATTACATTTCAATAATTATTTCAGTAAAAATATTTCAATTAATAGCCTCTATAATTTTTTATAAAATTCTTTAAATGTCTTCTAAAATAAAGAACATTTTCAACACATAATATTTTATTATTCAAAAAATAAGTGTCATGTATAAGAAAATATATGCAGAATATAAAAACGAATCAACTGTAGAAAGTAATTTTTAAAATTTAGAGATGAAAATATTAATCTAAAAAATATATCTCAAATGTTCAATCGAACATTTTAAATTCTAATAAAATTTTAATCGATGATTATTTAACAATACGAGAAAAAATTAAATATATATAATTAAATATATATAATGTCCCCAAAAAAAAAACATTCATTAACTGAAGATTTCTGAAGTAATTTTAAGTAATATTTTCATTCATACAAAAACTTTTATTAACAAGTTATTAATAAAAAATGCTGGCCAATTACAAAATGCATAGTCAATCGAATAGCTACGTACTATCGATCAAGTATGAATGAGTTCAAAAAACATATTTTGAAAAAAATTGAATGTTGAATGTAATAAATATTTTTTTATCGATAAAAAATTATATCAAATTACACTTATATCAAACATTTTCTTTGAGATATATTGCTTATTCATATT